CAGGGGACACTGTATGTATGTATGTATGTATGTATGTATGTATGTATTGTGTGTGTATGTGTCGTGTGTCTGTATGTATGTATGTATTGTGTGTGTATGTGTCGTGTGTCTGTATGTATGTATGTATTGTGTGTGTATGTGTCGTGTGTCTGTATGTATGTATGTATGTATGTATGTGTATGTCCCTTAAGACACTTCGAGAGCACTCCCCCCCCCTCCCCTCCTCCTCTACTGGGTTAGGTTAGGTGGGTTGGGTGTGGGGGAAGTAGATGGATATGTGGGTGGGTTGGTGGGCTGGGTGGGTGGGTAATGTGGGTATAGGTTAGGTGGGTATCATCTGAGAGTTGGTGTTATCTGCCGTCCTTTGATAACAGGACAGATATGTATGTGTGTTTATGTCTGGTGGTGAGGGAGATCAAGGTGTGTGTGTGTAGGTTAATGTTAGACTAGGTTAGGTTAGGTTATATTAGGTTTGGTAAGGTTATATTAGGTTAGTCTCTGAAACCGAGAGAGACTTAATAATAATAATAATAATTAACGGTTTATTGAAAGAGCTTGGCAGCCAGAAGGCTCAAAATATACAGTTACATATTTGGGGAATGGGTTACGAATTACAAATAATATACAAGTAACATAAGTGACACAAATAAGACATATAATAACTAGATGGGGAAAAGCTCAAACTACAGTTCATTTCAACATAGTGACAGTGCAAGAAGTAGTATTTACTGGGAGTGAATACACTGGTTTATTACAAGTTATTGATAATTTTTAATAAACCACTTCAGCAGCGTGAGAGAGTTCTGCAGAGAGATACCGTCTGTGTGAGCAATAGCTAGATATAGTCCGCGAGAGATAACCAGAGAGATAGAGAATCAACGAGAGATACTGTAGTCAACAAGAGAGAGAGAGAGAGAGAGAGAGAGAGAGAGAGAGAGAGAGGACAATAACTATAACACACTAACTGAAACCTCCATATAACGAACTTGTATCTTTAGGTAGTCCGTTAAATGGTGGTTTTTCGCATTTAACGGACCCTCGATATAACAAGATTTTTACCTCTAGCAACAGTAATAATAATAATAACATCTAAAGGAACTATAGAAAAAAATATATTACAAATACAATCAATAACAATAACAAATACAATCAATAACAATAACAAATACAATCAATAACAATAACAAATACAATCAATAACAATAACAAATACAATCAATAACAATAACAAATACAATCAATAACAATAACAAATACAATCAACAACAACAATAACAACAATTAAAATATTACAACAACAACAAAAACATACGAGGCCTTATATCTACACATGTTATCATCACCCTATTGAAACTGTGGCTCATATGTGTTAATGTGTCACTGTTAACGAGGACACATAGTGGGACCATATGTGTTAATGTTACCAATGATGACACATATTATTGGGGGTGTTTAGCGATCATTAGTCATGTGTTTGTCTGTCTGTATGTCTGACGGGCCCTCGATATAAAGGATTTTTCTCTAAGAGTTGGTTATATCGAGGTTTAATGTTGTTGTAAGAGGGTGTGTGAGTTAGTGTGTTTTTGTTGTTGTAGATGTTGTAAATATTATTGTTTTTGTTGTGTGAGTAAACTTCTTGTAAATATTGTTGTTGTTGTTGTTGTTGTTGTTGTTGTAAGTTAAACCTGGTGTTGTTGTTACAGGCTGTGTGAGGAAGCAGCGTCATGAACGGTGTCGGGAACGGCTATTACCGTGACGACCCCTGGGACAACGACTCCCGCACTTCAAGGTGGGCTCTCTCTCTCTCTCTCTCTCTCTCTCTCTCTCTCTCTCTCTCTGTCTCTCTCTGTTCCTCTCTCTCTCTCTCTCTCTCTCTCTCCTCAACAATAACATGAGACTCACACACAAACACAGTAGTTTCTGGTGTTATAAGAGATAAAATAGATAGCTCAAATGCCTAAGTAATCCCTCCACTAATCCTCTGACTAATCCTCTGACTAATCCACTAACTAATCCACTATAATAAAAATGATTAAGTTTAGTGATTGTGATACTTAATTCCCTTGAGTACGATGACTTTAACCACTTGAGTACGATGAGGTTTATTCTCTTGAGTACGAGGAGTTTATCCTTACAGTACGATGTCGTAACTCAAGGGGTTAAACATCGTACTCAAGACATTAATTAAGTTCATCGTACTCAAGGGTTTAGGATGAGTGAAGTGACGTCATTGTTTACATACATGAGGTGGTGTACTATAGGGGTTAGGGATGAATGGAGTGACGTCATTGTTTACATACATGAGGTGGTGTACTATAGGGGTTAGGGATGAATGGAGTGACGTCATTGTCGACATACATGAGGTGGTGTACTACAGAGGTTAGGGATGAATGGAGTGACGTCATTGTCGACATACATGAGGTGGTGTACTACAGAGGTTAGGGATGAATGGAGTGACGTCATTGTTTACATACACGAGATGGTGTACTATAGGGGTTAGGGATGAATGGAGTGACGTCATTGTTTACATACACGAGATGGTGTACTATAGGGGTTAGGGATGAATGGAGTGACGTCATTGTCGACATACATGAGGTGGTGTATTACAGAGGTTAGGGATGAATGGAGTGACGTCATTGTTTACATACACGAGATGGTGTACTATAGGGGTTAGGGATGAATGGAGTGACGTCATTGTTTACATACACGAGATGGTGTACTATAGGGGTTAGGGATGAATGGAGTGACGTCATTGTTGACATACATGAGGTGGTGTACTATAGGGGTTAGGGATGAATGGAGTGACGTCATTGTTTACATACATGAGGTGGTGTACTATAGGGGTTAGGGATGGAGTGACGTCATTGTTTACACACATGAGGTGGATCATGCTCGTGGTTGGTGAAGGATTATGGGTTAAGAAGTGAGACACATTCCTCCCCTATCTTAATTCTTCATCTGTTGCTTCACCTCTTTTATCAGTTGTTGTTTAGTCCTCCCTTCAGTTTAATGACCTCGAGTGTCCCTCACACACCTGTTCTTAACCTAACCTAGAGTAATCAAGCCTAACCTAACTTAATGTAACATAACTTAACCTAACTTAGTGTAACCTTACTTAATGTAACATAACTTAACCTAACTTAGTGTAACCTTACTTAATGTAACATAACTTAACCTAACTTAGTGTAGCATAACTTAACCTAACCTCACTTTACGTAACTTAACCTAACTTAATGTAACATAACTTAACCTAACTTAGTGTAACCTTACTTAATGTAACATAACTTAACCTAACTTAGTGTAGCATAACTTAACCTAACCTCACTTTACGTAACTTAACCTAACTTAATGTAACATAACTTAACCTAACTTAGTGTAGCATAACTTAACCTAACCTCACTTTACCTAACTTAACCTAATCTTATGCCTTACACATCTATCCTTAACCTAACTTAACCTAATCACCCCCCCCTCATTCCTGTGCTATACGCTACTCCCACGTTAACTCACTTTAGTTAACAGCTCTTAACCTTTAAAGCAGAAAAAACTCACATTTTACTTTCTACTACGCAACTGACGACTCATCATCTACTTTCTCGTGTGTGTGTGTGTGTGTGTGTGTGTGTGTGTGTGTGTGTGTGTGTGTGTGTGTGTGTGTGTGTGCGCGAGAGAGAGATTGCTAATTCATTCCATTCACCAACGTAGCGAATATTTCCTCCCTCCCTCCCACCACATTACCTGCACAATCTCCTCCTTAACTCACTTTCTTCTTCTCATTTTTTCTTGTTTCTTCTCTTTCGTTTTCTACCTATCGAGCTTAATGGCTCGTTAAAGGTAATGGCTCGTAATTAATGGCTCGTACAGGTAGATGCTTCGTTAAGTCACGTCTTATTAACCATTTTCTTCAATAATAATCTTACCTGCTTTCTATTTTCTCTAATGATTTACTATAACTATTTCTCTAACTTAATTTTTTTTCCATAAGATTGTAAATTTTTATCGTCTATTTTCCATTACGTTTACTCTTGTGTATTTGTCTTAAGGTAACATTTTAGACGAGTTATGGCTTAATATTCCTCCATTTTCTATGATTTCCAAGACTATAGAAAATGGGAAATAGGTGAATACAAAATAGGGAAAAAGTGTACATTATTTATTCTAGTATGTATATGTGTTGTATGTGTATGTATGAGTGTATGTTTATTTAATAAACTTTATATAATACGTTTTTATTGTGGTTATTTTACAGGTATTAGACAGGTATTTTCCGAACACCTGCATGTCCTAACATTTTGTACAGCATGTCACACTCATTCTTGAAGCTAACACTCGACCTCAAGCTAACACTCAACCTCCAAGCTAACACTCAACCTCCAAGCTAACACTCAACCTCCAAGCTAACACTCAACCTCCAAGCTAACACTCAACCTCCAAGCTAACACTCAACCTCCAAGCTAACACTCAACCTCAAAGCTAACACTCAACCTCAAAACTAGCACTCAACCTCCAAGCTAACACTCAACCTTTAAACAAATCTTCTAGGCTAACACTTATCCTGAAAGCTAACACTCACACTCCCAGCTAACACTCAACCTCCAAGCTAACACTCAACCTCCAAGCTAACACTCCACCTCCAAGCCAACATTCGACCTCCAAGCTAACATTCGACCAAAGCTAACACTCCACCTCCAAGCCAACACTCAACCTCCAAGCCAACATTCGACCTCCAAGCTAACATTCGACCAAAGCTAACACTCAACCTCCAAGCTAACACTCGACCTCCAAGCTAACACTCGACCTTCTCCCCTCACAGCATTTATTATCGGGATGAGATGTCTTCAGACGCCTGGGAGGAGGACCCGGTCAGGTAATTGGTTACTCAGCTCAACTTAATTTGATCTCAGTGTAGGAGCTTAATTCTTGTCTCACCTGAGCTCAGTTTGGTTTTATTAAGAAGTTTGTCGTGTGTGTTTGTTTGTTTGTTTGTTTGTTTGTGTGACCATGACTGCCCCTCTTTGCCCCCACTTGTTTATTTGTTTACCTTGTGTCTATTGTTTGTTTGCTTACATTATTTGTTTTGTTTGTTTGTTTATATGTGTTTGTGGTTTGTTTGTTTGTTTACTTTATTTGTTTGTTTGTTTACCTTGTGGGTATAGAGTACTGTATGCAAATAGTGACTCGGTGGGGCTATTGTTATTGTTTCAGAAGCGAGGTGTTAACGTGAGCACCTGGGATATTGCCTCCCTCTCTTGCTCCCCAGGTAACTACTGTTACTACTACTACTACTGTTACTACTACCAACTTTAACCATTACTACTACTACAACTACCAACTAACCATTACTACTACGACTACTACTACCACGACTACTACTACCAATTATAACAATTACTACTACTACTACCACAACTACCACCACCCTTAACTACTACTACTACTACCAACACCACCACTAACTACAACTACGACTATTTTAAGCTAGACTATTAAGTATTGCAGCAATTATTCTCACCGTATACAGCAGTACTGGCTAGTCTCACCGATCGCCTTTTGTTTTGTCAACCTATACGTATCCATGAGTCCTATACCCATATTAGTGTTGGAATCTATACTTTTACGTCATGTCGTTTATACTTCGTTTATATTTTTTTTTCGATCCTATGTGGGTGAGAATTTGTTTTTGTTGAGTTTACTGTATTTATTGCCACTGTAGATGTGTTTTTGTTTATACAGTCAAGTGTTTTTGTAGTTTTTTGTATTTGTAAGATTTTTTTGTTAATGATTTGAGTAATTTTTGTGTTGTATTTATGATATTGAAATTGCTATAGATTGTAAGGTAAGTTGTTATTGAGTTGTATATTTTATTGTTACTATTGTAAGTATTATATGATTATTATTATTATTATTATTATTATTATTATTATTATTATTATTATTATTATTATTGTTATTGTTACCGAACGTTGATAATAATTGTAATATTTTCCTTTAATTCCATGACTATATTTAGCTGTTAAAAAGTGGTTAGGTTAGGCTAGGCTAGGCTAGGCTAGGCTAGGTATGAGCATGTTGTGTGGCGAGATGTGGTTGTGGCTGAAGCAGGTGTGTGTGTGTGTGTGTGTTGGTGGGCGTGATACTGCAAGGGCGCGGCTCAATTAGGGGAGGCCGTGGGGTGACTGTTGGTTGACTGGGCCCCTCAAACCTTGTCTCACCTAAACCCAGTTAATCCATGTCGGTGTTGGTGCCAGTCAGTCTTAAACGGGTCCCAGTCAGTCTTAATGAGGTCCCAGTGAGTCTTATAGAGGTCCCAGTCAGTCTTATAGAGATCCCAGTGAGTCTTATAGAGGTCCCAGTCAGTCTTAAGGTCGTGTGTTAATAAAGTAAGGTCTTGGGTCGCTGGCTGTAACGCACTAATAACGAGAGAGAGAGAGAGAGAGAGAGAGAGAGAGAGAGAGAGAGAGAGAGACCCCCCCTTGTCACTCTATGGTCACTCTTCACGCCGTAAGACCCAGCCAATCCCCGGAACAGAACCCTAGAGAAAATGTGGTTAGGTTAGGTCCCCCCTATTTATATCTATCCTACCTACCTACCTAGATGTTCAGTGACCCGATCGGTTTTGTCTGGTCCCAGCGTCACCTTTCCCTCTTCTTCTCCCCTCCTCTCTTCTTCCCCCTTCTCCTCTCTTCCACCTCTTTTTCCTCTTCTCTTCCACCTCTCCTTCCTCCTCCTAATTCTCTTCCTCCTTCTGCATTAATACGTAGGTCATTTACACACACCAGTACAGTGTGTTAGCCGGGAACCATAACGGGAGATGTGTTTAGAAACTGGTTAGAGTAGAGAGTGTGTAGTGAACCCTCTATATAACGGACGATATAGAGCTGATAGTCCGTTATATCAAGGGTTCGTTAGATATGAAACCCCCTTGTAACGGATTATATAGAGATGAAAGTCCGTTATATCAAGGGTCCGTTGGATATGAAACCTCAGTGTAACGGATTATATGAAATCCGTTATATGGAGGTGTCACTATATATAGGTTATAATACCAACATATGAGCGATATTTTCCACCCTGAATTTGATACCAGGTATTAGGAAATGTCCAGGAGGGAGGGAGAGGGGGGGGGTGAGGGAGGGGGAGAAAGAGAGGAGAGGTAAGGGAGGGAGAAAGGGTGGGGGAAGGGGGGGGGAGAGTAATTTTCTCCATAATCCCTTAAGAAAACGATTATGCAATATGGAATTAGTGTCTTGTTCAACATCAATTTATATATCCGTGTTGCAATAACCCACTGTTAGTTGTTGCCAAATCTGCAATTAATTGATCAATGTTGCCAGAAAATTGATCGAAAAAAAATGTCTTTATAAATTTCATTAAAAATAATCGAGTATTAAAATTGGAGGAAAAATTGGATTGGTTGGTAATTAAAGTGAAGAGATGCCAATTAGCCTTTCAGTTGTTTATTTTTGTTTTGAAATCAGTTTAACCTTTTGTGTGTATGTGTGTGTGTGTACGTGTACGTGTGTGTGTACTTGATTACGACACATACACAGACTGGAATTTCATACATGATTTTTCTATATTTTTTTTAGAGGAATTTATTTATATATTTATTATTTTTATTATTTACTTTTGATTTCACTTTTATTATTAATTTTTGGTTTTAATGTGAAAATAATGACTTGTGATATACGGAAAATTATTAATGTCTCGTTAAAAGTGACATGATATAGTGAACGTGATAATAATGGTGAAAATACCAATACAAATATATAATAAAAGAAAAAAAAATAGTGAAAGTGATAAAACAGTGGACGTAATAAGAACGTGATATATTGAAAGTGATAATAGGCAATACCATGATATACTGAAAGTGATTATCTAAAACGGCAGTGAGTGATAACATTATGTATAAGAAAGTGTCACTATCATGCTACAGTGATCAGAAAGCACTAACATGATATAATAAGAAAGTGACTAACTAACATGATGCAGTATTCTGAAAGTGATCAAGAAAATGACCGTAACATGATAATAGTCTTCTGGAAGTGATGATAACCTAATAAACTGAACGTATAATGATAACATGATATACTGAAAAGAGATTGTGACAGTGACTCATCAACTGAAACATGATATCGTTGTCGTAAGCAGCTCTCAAATAATTTCATGGTTATATTTGCCCCATCATGGTAGCGGCCTGGGGGTAAATTTATCCCATCATGGTAGCGTCCTGGGGGGATGGTAAAATTTATCCCATCGTGTTTGCGTCCTGGGGTAATAATTAAATTGGTCCTATCATGGTAGCGTCCTGGGGGGAGGGGGGGTTTAATGGTTGAATTTGCCCCATCATGGTAGTGTCCACAGGTTAGTAAAGGTTTCTCACTGATATTAGTAAATTTCCACATATTATTTCTTCTTACACGACTAACTGTTAACTGCAGTTTTATGTGATGGCTTATATATCTCTACTGACTAACTGGGAAATAAACTGGTAACTTTATATCATGTTTAGTGTTATTCAAACCAGTGTAATATTATGCTAGGTAATGTTATTTAGGCCAGTGTTATTCTAGCTGTACAGTATGATTTTATGCAAGGTAATGTTATGCCAGGTTCTCCAAGGTAGGGTTAGGGCTGGGCTGGGTTAGGTTGGAGTAATCGTTCGAGGAGTCAAGGTAACGTTGCAGCCAGAGTTGATTGGCCTGCAACTTTCACACCGTTATTATCTTATTCTGTATATATCATTTACTGCGGTGTAAAAAAGTTGAACCTCAGGTGTGTGTGTGTGTGTGTGTGCGCGTGCGCGCGTGTGCGCGCGTGTGTGTGTGGGTGGGTGTGTGTGTGTGTGTGTGTGTGAGACTTGATATTATTTTATTGTGTGTGTGTGACTTGATATTATTTTATTGTGTGTGTGTGTGACTTGATATTATTTTATTGTGTGTCAGTCAGTGTGTGTGTGAGAGTGTGAAGTAATATTATTTTATTGTGTGTGTGTGTTTGTGTTTGAATGAACCGTAATTGCGTCTTTTCAACAGCGATTTATCGTAAATTGGCATTAATGCTTCATGTTTTTTGTCAATTGAATTATACCTGACAAACACTCTTATATGATACAGGTATATTAATCAACAGGTATGTACAGTCTAATATTGTAATACTGATAATGGTCTACAGCAACAAGTAACGAGAATTGCAAAAAAAATAAAATACAAAATCAGCATATTTTTGGCAAAGGTTAATGAATGATGCAATGGTAACCTTCCAATGTTTTAAATTATGAAAAATTTACTTCATCCTTTCGCATTGATTTTCAGTCCTTATTGAGTTACGAGGAGAGTATGTGTTACTTTGTTTACTTTTGGTAACTAATGCTAACTTATTGACTTGCAGTTCGGCGTACGACAGAGATCGGATGTCGCCGTACAGAAGTGACCCTCGGGGGCACTCTACCGCCAGCAATGGCTACTCTTCAGGTGAGGTGTCTCTCTTTCTCTCTCTAGGTGGTCCCCCTCAGGTAGGTCTTCTCCCTCTCCTGCTAGACACATCAATCCCGAGGTGGGATTGATTTTGTCATGGTTTATCCTCTCTTGTCACCCCTTCCCACTTTTTTGCCCCTTCACCTTGTCACCCCTCCACCCATAGTTAGGAGACATGATTAGCTGTTTACCTGCATAGTTTACAAAATGTGCCTATACTGTACAACTGTAAATTTGTATGGCAATTTTTCTGAATTATTATTATTATTATTATTACTACTACTATTATTATTGCTGCTATTATTATTTATTATTATTATTACACAAGATGAATCCTAACTCAAAATAATAAGTCGGAGGATCATATACCCCTGTACAGTACTAGATGATTTTACAACATAGAAATTAACTAATTTTCACCTTTAAAAATAATTTGACTAAATGAAAAGCTTTACACACAGACAATGGGTCGGTCGTCAGCACAGAAGATGGGCCGACGTACGTGCTGGAACACTTGGCCACCTTCAGAGTGTCGCCCGAGAGTGACCTGGTGTACCCGGCCGACGGGATGCGCCGCCTCTTACACATGGAGAAGACCTCGGGCATATGGACACAGAAGATGTTGCTCAGACTAGACAAAAAATGGGTCTATATACAGTCTCATGAAAATGGGGTAAGGTGACATTACTCTGATTTTAATAGGATTTATTGTACTGTACTTTTATTAGGCTAGTAAAGCAATAAGTGTGAAAAAAGGATAAAGTAAAATAGCAAAACAGAGTTAAAAAAGTAAAAATGAAAAGAGAGTGAGAGAGTTAGTGAGAGCGAAAGATAAATAGAGAGAGAGAATCAGCGCTGCTTAATTCTTGTCCGTCAGTACGATAGCGGGAAAGAGTTTGTGAGAGCTGATAATAAAGAGTAACAACCCAGATTAATACACACCATTGTACTGTATTGTATAGTGTATGAAATATATAGTGTAGTGTATAGTGTATGTAATAGCTTTAACCTATAAACTGGTGGTGTGTCAGTGTGAAGAGAAAGATTCAGTGTTGGTACAGTTATAGAAGTACTACAGTGAGTATGTCCTTGAAATCTATTGCATGTATACTGTAGTTATCATGTAGCCATAACTGTACTGGCATTTCTTGTTTTAATACAGAACTGTAACTCTACTCATTGATTACACTAAGTACAGTTACACTCTTCTCTTAATCCTTTGAGTACGATGGCGTTAACCCAATGAGTATGGTGGCATTAACCCCTCGAGTATTAACGCCTTGAGTACATAGGTCTTAACTCCTTGATTACGAGGACCTTAGAATCATCGTACTCAAGGGGTTAGTACTAGTGTCAATGTACTTAAAGGACATCATCGTACTCAAGGGGTTATGCTGTTTAAAATACAGTATACTAGTTATGTAATCTAATTCAAGTACTAATCTCTTTTCTATATCTTTTCTCCCTAAATTGTATTGTGTATTATCACTAATAAACTGTTGGGGAGATTTGATATTTAATAGATCCAATTAGACGTGTTTTTCATAGTTCTAACGTGATATATTTTGATAGGCTTGCAAAGACTGGACACCTCTGATAATGCATCGAAGAAACTAATATTTTTAGAATTTTTGATTCAATATTTAAAAACATATTGTACAGTTAAATAATAAAGTTCCCAGAGATGTGATTCATTGTTTTTTGTAAATTAATCTTTATTTTGATAGCGAAATGCTCAGGCTCGAATGTCGGTATTTGATTAATGTGTAATTTTTTGTCAACAGGACGTCGTGGAGAAGTTTCCCATGGAACTGATAAGGGAGCCTACAGCATTCACAAGTGAAGACCCAAAAGAATTGTACAATAACATCTTCATATTTGTCGTAGCGGAGGACCCAAAGAGGAATTACCAGAACCCGACGGAAATGCACATATTCCAGGTAATATTCGCGCGCACACACACCCACACAAGTATCATTATGGAGAGGTCTTATGAATTCCAAAATGAACGCCACGACTCCTGCTGTCTCAGTTCATCAAAATCCTTCATCCGTTGTCATATTGTCCAACACAAAATCATCACCTGAAGATTACACCCCCCAATTTCACCTTAAGATTAACTAACCTAACCTAACTCTTTCCCCCAGGTATTGTTATGGTGTTTAATCATCAGGTGAAATAAACTGGGGGGGAGGGGGTATAATCTTCAGGTAATCCCATTTTAATGTCACTGTTCATACTTGTCTTACACCTACCTCGTGGTTTCTGGCCCCCTCTTGATTCACCTCGCATATAAAGTGGTAGAGGAGTGAGAGATCATATTGAATATTAGGAAAAATCTCTGGAATGAATTTGGGAAAGTATATACAAGTCATTCAATTTGATTCTTTTGTTCTTGGGGTATTGTGAATTTAATAGGTGTGTGTGTGTGTGTGTGTGTGTAAAAATGGTTAACTTGAGCCCTGTGATTATGAACTGCATTTTGATTTTTACGTCAGACAGCAGCTAGTTTACTGTGTGCCCCATATTCATTCGGTGAACAGTAGCACAACAGGATTAAAGTACAGGTCACAAGTGTGTGTTTGACAGACTCCAGTGGTCAGGATATTGTGGTGTTGATGTTAGAGTACTTTCTGTATATTGTTTATTTAGTTCTGTACATAGGAGTTGACATAGCTACTACAGTAGGTGCTAAATGTGGATAGTGTTAATATATCACCTATCTTGCCATCAGAGACCAGGTGTTGTGCCCCTGTGCTTACAACTGTCCCTGAAACGATCTATTTTCTCAGTCTAGGATAAAGTGTTCAAGTGTGTGGCCATATATCTCTAGAAAGTGTTAATATAATATTTTTATGGCTACCAACTAAGGGAGATGTAGATGTTGTTGTACTGTACTAGATAAACAAATTTAGGAAAATCCACTTATGTGTTGACTGCTTCTTACTGATATTAGTACATATAAAACCTTAGAGATCTGTTAAAAGTTGATCTGTGTACAGTAATAATGTATGAAATACTGCAGACTATTGCATATTCACCTATGACAACTCAAACCTTTTCCATTGGTTCTGTGTCTCAACATTTTGCTCACATGTTTGAGGTATGTACAGTATCTTATTCCCCGAGTGATTCTTTCATGTGTGTATCCATCTGTAGAGCATAGATGGAGTCACAGGAAATGATGAATATCTCAGTCCTTCAGTTATCGGACATTGTATACAACTTTGAGCTCTTTTTCACTCTCTCCAAAAGGCCCAATGAATTTAAAAACAAAACTGCGACTCCTGTTATCTCGGTAGCGTTGTCAAAATTCTTCGTCCGTTGTTTCATATTATCTCTTGCAATTACAATTAACAACATGAGGATAATCTTAGCTTATTTATCAGCTCGTGAGTGAAAGAACAGGTTATCTATCTTATCTTTATCTCTGGAGCCTCATCCCTTCTAGGAACTACACTCCACGTTCTAAGGCTTGAAAACTTGAAGCTTTTATCGAACTATTATATCTGTTATCACTTACCAGCAGCATAGGGGAAGGCAACTGAGGGTTTCATTGGTCCTCCTGCAGTAATTCATCGGTCCTTCTGCAGTAGTTCTTCAGTCCTCCTGTAGCAGTAACTTAAGGCAAATGTAACTGGGTTTTAATTGACCTTGGTACGAAGGATTCCACCACTAAGTCCAGGGATTAGTTTATCAGTGTATTGAAACCTTATTTATGAATTATGACTGATACTTGGTAATATTTAAGATTTTAAGACAAGCAATATATATTCTCAGACAGTCACCATGATGTTGAAGGGTTACTGCACTTGCCTGTACAGAAATGGAGGAACTTAAACAAGGGATGAGGGTTGGTTAGGTTAGGCTAGAGTTAAAGTTTGAAGTGTGAAGAATTAGAATAGGTTTGGTTAGGTTAGAGTTAACGTTTGAAGTGGTAAGAGTTGTGGCAGCAGGATTTCATTTAAGGCTTTGGGTATGGGAGACAAATTAACTACTAAATATTCTAAGACAACCACTTCAATATATTATCTAAGTATACAGGTTTACAGTGTATGATAGGCAATTCATTACATCACTAAGTCATTTAAGAGACCCTAGATGAGTGTATCAGCGGCGTCTAATCTCAAGGTTACTGGATATCGCGGCTCTGATACGGTGTTGTTCCCGAGTCTATAAAAGTGGTGTGTACTGCAATGACCTTTAAGAAGCTGATTTCCGTAACTTGTTATAAAATGACGATGGATGAAGATAAATTCCCTGATTGGTGGAGATTTGTAATTTTTGTGATTCGTGTATTCAAATATTATAATCATCGGTGCAGTAATTACAGGGTCATTGGGTTAATTTATGATATATGTTAACTCTTTCACTACAGGTATGCCATTTTTTATATTTGGTTGATGTCAGTTTATTTTATTCAGCTCCTTGTGTGGGTTAGATGTGATTGGCTGACCGCTCATCCATATAAATACAAGCACAGGTATTTGCCAATGATGTTAAGTTATTGAGGGAAATCAAATGTAATAAAGTGTAAAGTCGAACAGAATGACCCGAGTAAACTTCAAAACAAGGTCGTGGGAATATTTGCCGAGATTCAGTATTGAGGAATGCAAGAGAACGCTCCTTGGTCTTGACAACAGTGAGAAAATTATACCACACTTTACAAACTTACTGAAGACAATATCCAAACTGAATCTAGATGTGAGAAGTTCTTGGGTCATTGTGAGAAGACAGTGAACCTTGTAATGAAGAAACTAGTTTTATTTGTACAGTGATTTTATAGTTCGGCAGTCTATTTCTGATCTGATTCTTCCTTACTTGGAGTCCTGTAATTCTAGATGGTCTCTGAAGTACTGTACATCAATCAATCAATCAGAGTACCGTCCTCATATCCAAGGGTTAGCGACCACAGTCTTCCACCCGAAAATCTTTTGGGCTGTTTTTACTTATCAAAATTGATTTTGTATCTTTCTAGGGATCCAGTTTTTAATTTCATTCTTTCATCCTAGTTTCTGTTTATCCCTTGGCCCTCCTTCACTCAACTTTGCCCAACTTTATAGATAAGGAAAATGAGATACTTTGGTTATATAATTAGGGTTGTGAGGATAATAACAGAACTATTAATGGGTACAGTTGAGATACACGAACGACTGCCAATTGATAGAAAACACGAAAAGCCATAAATGAGCAACATGAGAGGGAAATTAATAGACATATAAAGTTAGATGGGGTAAAAGTACACAGAATATGATATAACATGATATAGAAATTCTTAAAAATGAAAGATTAAAATAGTTCATCCGTTTCCTCTTTCTTTCAGTGTCTACGAATTAGTGCCAAAGATGTAGTGGAGGACGTGAAACTTTTTATGTCCGGGAAGGGCGTTCCTGGGCGGGGTCGGGCGGCCAGAGCTGGGCGGGGCGAGCACATTCCCCCTCCGCCCCAGGAACCCGCGCCAGAACCCCCGCTGGCAAATGGCTACCGTGGCGACTTTTGTAAGTATTCCACTGTAATGTTTCAGAAGGGAATCCATGAATAATAGGCTCCTACCCTCTTCACATTCAATGGACCTCCATCTTGAGTAAATACAACATGTTTTAAAAGACTCATTTTCTATAAGATAACAATAATTAAAGTCATGAGTCTGATTATCCTTTTCTGTATATCAATAACAGTCAAAAGTATAAGCGACAGACACCCCCAACCACTCACAGAGGTTCGTAGATTCTCTTCTGTTTTGTATTGTTGTTTTAGCGAATGTGTTACAGGAACATCGATGATTTTATAATGCCGTGAAGATTTCAAAGAAGTCGTTGCGGTACTCTCAAGCGTAATTCTGTAAGTGGTGTGAAGTGTGACGTTGAGAATTGAGGTATTTGATGATTTGGTGTGATGTAAATTTTGGTGGTCACTATGAGAGCTATACTGAACTGTATTGAAAACTGGTGACATTGGATTTGAGTTATATTATTCTTTTATTGTTATTATTATTATTACTCTATTATTATTGTATTATTATTATTATTATTATTGTATTATTATTATTTTTATTATTATTAACTGATTCAAGGCACTGCACACTGCTTAAACATATTCCCGGAGTTGGTCATTTGCCAAAGTAGTGTATGTGTGTACTTTCAGCGAGTTTCTTCAGTTTATGGCTGGATGCCGTTCCTATTAACAGCCCAGTGTTACAGAGTGGGAACTGGGCATTATATGTTGAACCATCATCATCAAAGGCTTAAATCATTATAAAAGGGTTAAACCATCATTATTAAAGGGTTAAATCATCATCATCATCATTAAAGGGTTAAATCATCATCATCAAAGGGTTAAATCATCATCATCATTAAAGGGCTAAATCATCATCATCAAAGGGTTAAATAACATCATACATTATCCCATACACGTAGACGTTAAGACATCGCTGACCTTTTGTTTCTGATTACATCAAGGTGATTGGGTAGTTAATTCCCACCGCCTCTTAGCGTTTGAGAGCGAATTGCCTCTAATCACCAGGGAAAGTGTGTTTATGTGGGGTCAGGATTGGTAGTAGTTTATGGGGGCGGGGGGGGGAGATAAAGGTCAGTTTGGTAGGGATTTTAGGCATTTTGTGGTTTGTGTTTGTATGTATGTATGTGTGTGTTTGTGTTTTTGTACATATGTGTTTATGTTTGTGTGTGTTTGTTTCTCAGTGTGTTTGTGTTTCTCTGTGTTTGTTTGTATGTTTTTGTGTTGTGTTTCTTTGTATGTATGTTTGTTTGTTTGTGTTTGTGTCTGTGTGTGTATCGTAGACCAACTTACCAGGTCAGTTGTGGTCACATGAACTCTGTAGTGGTGCTGCAGGGGACATCTAACTCACCTACACCTCCTTCATCATCTTGCGAGTCTTGTTGGGTAATTCTTAACACCACCGCAACAATTTTCTCGACTCGTATACAATGTGAGGAATTCTCGTGTTATTTGTGATTTTGTTTTTGGTACAGGATGGCTCTCACTCCTGTGAATTATAGTAGATAATGTTCCTTTGATGTTTATAGTAAGTCGTAGTAAGAGGATATAGTGAAGCCTGTATATAGTGGACTTTCATCTCTGTATTGTTCGTTAGATGGGGTTTTCTGATTTAACGGATCCTTGATATAATGGACTTTCATCTCCATATTGTTCGTTAGATGGGGTTTTTACATCTAATGGGCCTCGATATAATGGACTTTCCTATCTATATTGTTCGTTAGATGGAGGTTTCACATCTAACGTACCCTCGATTCAGCAGACTTTCGTCTCTCTATAGCCCATTAAATAAAGGTTTCACTTTACATGTTTGACTGAGAACGGCAGTGACGAACAATATAATAATTTCGATCCATTCCCTGAAGTAAGTTGTTATGTCACACCGCCAGAAATTGAATTGATTGTAGATAATTGAACTTGAAGAGACGGTGGAGTAGCCTAGTTCCCTGGAGGGCGATGGTTGATGTGGGTCGCTCTGCTCAACCAGGGCTCGACAGGCTCGATATTTTATTCGTTTATTATTTTTTTCCCACGAGCTAAAACGTGTGAGAAGCCACATAGCCGACTCGCTTAACTTATGACAGAAAGATTGAGGCTTTACAGAGTTCATTTATAATATACTGTGTTTCCCTTTAAGTGCAGTAGAGATAAATTAAAAGAATGCACCTCGCTGACTCACTTAAACCACAACACAAAGATTGATTCACAAAGTATCTTATAATTTCCTCGACTCGCTTAAACTACGACACAAAGATCGATTCACAAAGTATAGAAATAGTGTATCTCCCTGCTAATATGGCACTCAGAATAACACCATTGAAAGTATATATTAATAGTTTACTACTTAGATACGTTTTTCTTCCCTCCAGTTCAGAAAAATTTAGTCACATGAGGATCTTTAATAATGTGGGAACTAGCGTAGGTGTACAAGTAGTAGGAGGAGGAAGAGGAGGAGGAGTGTTTATATGGGTCACAATATAGTCGGTCAACAACACAACACCTCCCTGCCATTACTTTGATTTATGGCCATATAAGAAACGTCCACTTTGTACTGATATATTGTGATCGAGTATTTATTTTATTTATTTCAATCTTTCTCGTTTATAACCAGCTGTCGTTCTTCATGTCTTTGTAGTTAATGGTTTAATAGTTAGAAGGCAAAATAGTGATAAATGCAATGCTAGTTTATGGTTAGGTTAGGTTTTTGAGTTACGTTGGTATGTTGGTTTAGGTGTGGATAGGTTAGGATAGGTGGGTGTGGTTAGGGTGGGTTAATGGAATAGGTTAGTTTAGGCTGTTATTAAAGGATAGATTAGGTTATCTTAAGTTCGCATGTTACTCTTGGATAGATGAGTTAGGTTAGGTTAAGGATTGTTAGGTTAAAATTGCTTAGGTTACATTAAACTAGATGTGGTTAGGTTAATTTAGCTTAAAGTTAGATTAGAATGTTATCTTTGAAAAGGTTAAGTCATATTGGGAAAGGTCAAGTTAGATTTGGTTAGATTTAGTTGTTAGATTTGGTTAGGTTAGGTTGAGAATCTTTTAAGTGTACTTGCCGTTATCAGCTAATCTCCGTGTAATGTCTTTTATTTCCTGCCGGTGAATTCCTGTTAAAGAATCCTGTTATGTTGATTATCCTGAGAGAGAGAGAGAGAGATGTGTTAGAAGTGGGGGGTTGTGGTCGGGGTGTACTGTACTACTAGCGAGGAGTACTGTACTAACGGGGTGTATTGTGTATTTATCATAGTTGGGGAAAAAACGAATGTGTATATAACGTGGTGGTAAGTGTACATAATTTATATACTGTAGACATTGGGTGTATTATAAACATTTTTGGTAAGCTGGTGAGATTTGTATTGGCGAGGTTTGTTAGCCTGAGAGAGAGAGAGAGAGAGAGAGAGAGAGCATGGAAGTTGAAGTGTTTGGTGTAGAGGGAAGGAAACAAGGACTGAGTGTGTGAGTGTGAGGAAGGAAAACAGCGTGCGACGTGTGTGTTTCCGGGAGGGTGGAGACGAGTGTGTGAGCTCAGCGGCGGCGGTGACTGACGCATGACGCACTTACGGGACGTTGTATTATGACCCACCCACCCATCACCCACCCACCCACCCACCACCCACCCACAATGGATTCATTTTTGAGAATCATTAAATAAAACAGGAAATTCCAATATTACCGAATTTTTATAACTACCGAACCAAACGAACTTGAGGATTTAAGTAAATATAAATAAAACGGCGAAGTATTATAAATATTTTTGTTAGTGTGTTGAGGTGTGTTGTGTGTGTGTTGATAATGTGGTAGACTTGAGGTTAAGTTTGATCTTACGGTATTGTCGTGGTGATGGCGTGGTAGGCGTGGTAATGGCGTGGTAGACGTGCGGAGAGTGGATTAGTAGGCGCGTGGGGAATGAATAAATGGGTACATGGGGATAGGGGTTAGTCATCAGCATAGGAAAAATCGGTTCTTGTACCAATCGTGGGGTGTGGACCGGTTCTTGTTACCATTATGGGTGTGGACCGGTTCTTGTTACCATTATGGGTGTGGACCGGTTCTTGTTACCATAGTGGAGTGGACCGGGAGGCCTCTGGTGGCTATGCAGATTCCAATGGTGATTTTATCCGTCTGTGCTGAGGTCACGGCGTTGAACCAGTCGAGGAAACGTACGTGTGTGTGTGTGTGTGTGTTTTAGAGTGAGTGAGGGAGGGATTAAGTTAGGAAGGGTTGGATTGAAAGGAGTGTGTGAGGGAGAGTTGGAGGGAGATCGGGAAGGAGTGAGTGAGGGAGTGTTGGAGATAGATCGGGAAGGAGTGAGGGAGGGAGTGTTGGAAGGAGGGAGGCAGTGGAGTGGTACAGATGGTGTGAGAACGTGTCCACCCTAGCCTCAACCCCCACCACCACACACACACACACACACACACACACACACACGCTATTAACCTAATTTTGAGGTAAAGTGCTGGTGAAACAGTTGTCGAGGTGAGAGAGAGAGAGAGAGAGAGAGAGAGAGAGAGAGGATTCCATAAGATCTTGGAAGAGTTCAATAATTTCAGTACTCTCTCTCTCTCTCTCTCAAGTCCTTTTTATACCCTCGGCATTTGGGGGATAGGAGGGGTATTTGGGGTAGGTGGGGTAGGTAGGTTATTCTAACCCCCCCGGCCATTTTATCAGTACATAGTTAAGATGACATCAAAGCCTCCGGTCTATCTCAGTTATATTATCTGACCACACATAATGCTCTAAAATGGAACACGTTTTTAGTAAGGTGTGATGGCAGAGTTAGTTATTGTAGTGTTATAGTGAGGGGATGATGGTGATGGTTGGTGGCAGTGGTTGTGGTGGTTGTAGGTGGTGTTGGGAGGGGTGAGGGATGGTGGTGATGGTTTGGGGGGGGGATGGTTGTGGTGATTTGTTTATAGGTTAGGTTAGGTTGTTTAATCATCAGGTGATTCAATTAATTCCACCGAGGTATAAATAACAATAAACT